TACGGGAGAATCTCGGGAAAAACGGGAGGGTTGACAGGCATGAAGTAACTATGTTAAACAGCATATCTTGTTTAGCAAACACCGGCGCGATCAAATAGCGCGAGAATTTTAAAGGTCCACGTGGTGTTTTGGTGAACTGAAGGGTCGCGCGGCGTTTAAACCGTACCTGGAGTTTATCGTCACTGATGTACGCGCCGTTAATCCCGGGTTGAATAAAAGTTGAGTGCCGGGGCTTCTGGGTGAAGCAGAAGTGCCACCACAGGCTAACAGTAACCCAGGTAAAACTTTGCAAAGCTACATGCATTAGCGCACGAGGCGGGAAACACGTCTTCTCTGTGTAACTTGAGGTGCGTCAGAGGCTGGACAGTCAGCACCTCGCCTGACTCGCGTTTCCCAGGAAATAACGGCTCTACACCGGCCTTCTCCGGTTTCTAAAGACGTACATGCATTATTGAGCGCGCTCTCCCGGTCCCGCTCGAGGCACCGGGTCAGCCACGCACAAAACGAACTGCGCTCCAGGAACATTACACTGACACTGACGCTGTCGTTGTTTAATTCATGCAGCCTCCCATTAACTGTCAGTTAAGGACCAGGACTATCCCGACTGATAACACTGCAACACGGGTGTTAAAGCAATTCAATTATAGATATGGTTACTAAATATGGTTTAAAACAAAGCATTATAAAAACTGTCACTCTGGACTGCATCACTCTCTGTGCGTGTATTTATATTATACACACAAGAGAACTAGTCCAAATGATTTACATGTGGTGTAAACGCATCCCAGAATCATTAGACTAACGTGCATTTACAGTTATGCATCTAGCTTCTACTAAATGCATAAATGTAAATATCTCAGGATCATGAAACTTCACAGAACATCAAAGAGCTAATCAGACATAATATAAACTAATTTTACCTAGATTGCTGGGGGGGGGGGGCAATCATGGCCTAACGTTTAAGAGTCGGACACCATACTTGGCCACATGCACTGTCCTTTTCTTTTCTTTTCAAAAGTCAAAGCACACATATACTTGCAAAATTTCACAACGGTTATAAGGCTATTGTATAATCCAGCAGCTCGTGATGTTTTCAGTGTCTCTCAGAGCAGCTAGGTTCACAGTAAATGAAGCAAACTTCATCTCTGCATGTGCTGAGTTTAACGTGCATTTGGAAGCACAATGTACACAATTTCCAACATTTTTAGATAGAGGTTTACAGCATTTCACCAGTATTCTGCTGAAATAAAAAGCTGCAATGTGAAACATTAAAGAGTTTGAAGGTTTGAAAGAAGAACTTGAGACATTAATGTGTAAAATAAAACATTGTAATAGTATCACATTTTTTAAATGTATTTACAGTATTGCAATTTAAACTCATAAAACACTGAAGACAGAAATACATTACTGTTGATAAAAATGAACTATTATTGTTAATAGTTTGGTTCCTAAAAACACAAGTGTGAATAATATGGACTGAATCACAACTAAATTGAGGTTTGAGTCCACTTTAAAGTCCATCTATGAAAGTTAATCATATCACAAGTTCAAATGGCAATATAACGAAAAAGTTTTGCAAATAAATGTAAATTTAATGTAAAAATGTTAATTTTGTAAATAATGTTGAAAATAAAACATTCGCTTAAAAACACTAAATGTTTTATGTTTGGTCATTAACCAACATAAGTTAATGCAAGATTGTTCAATTACTGAGCGTTCACCAAATAAATATTTTAAGTCTAAGGGGTTTGGCTGACAAAAAAGTTGGGGAACTCCTGAATGGGGCGAAAGGGCACAATGTCTACTTGGTTCTCTCAAAACTACTTTTTACATTAAATATATATATATATTATGTGCATTAAAGAAAAATTACCAAAATGTGCAATGCAATGGTATTATCTTTCACAATAAGGGTTAATTCCATGAAACAAAACATTGGTGGTGCACTATTCAGTACCTGAAACACAGATGATGTACTGTGCCTCTGAGTGAAATCCTGCCTGTCCTGGGACTGGGGTGTCAAAATCTGCAATAGGACAAAATGATACTGTGGATACACTTACATTTAATGGGGCAGCACAACAAGATAATGTTACAACATGGCTGGATTTTGTTTTACAATATGGAGAAGTTTGAGAGGTTTCACCCCCCCCTTTAAATAAAAAAAAAAAGTTACATTAGCTTGTTCTTCAAAGCATCACACAAATCCAGTTATACAGCACTTGATAAAGAGTCCTCCTGCAACCAAAACAGTCACATTTAAGAGGGATGTTTAGTTTAAAAAGGATGATAATGGTGACAAACAAAACACATCAAGCAGCCACACTGACAACAGCCTCCTCTGATATTCTGTGCACTAAAACACTTAAAATGTGCTGATTTGCGAAGTGAATTTGACCCTCAGAGGCACTACCATCACTCTATGCAAAAATATGACGTTCCCCTTTAAATAAAAAAAAAAAAGTTACATTAGCTTGTTCTTCAAAGCATCACACAAATCCAGTTATACAGCACTTGATAAGAGTCCTCCTGCAACCAAAACAGTCACATTTAAGAGGGATGTTTAGTTTAAAAAGGATGATAATAGTGACAAACAAAACACATCAAGCAGCCACACTGACAACAGCCTCCTCTGATATTCTGTGCACTAAAACACTTAAAATGTGCTGATTTGCGAAGTGAATTTGACCCTCAGAGGCACTACCATCACTCTATGCAAAAATATGACGTTCTACTGCATAAAAAGAAAAAAAGCGCCATCTGCTGGCTAAAAGCTTTCTGATCTAAATTTTGCAGGAGTGCCCTTAGAAATGAGTGTCATCACACATTCTTTAACAAATATATTCCTGGACAATAATTAGATACTGACATAATGACTTTACTTAGGATATAGCAGTTAAATTATGCAAGTTCTTTATCCATGTCATTTCTCAATTCATGTGAAACAGAAGGTATTTGGAGGTTAAGACATACACATCCCATTACATTATGAAGATAAAATAATAAAAGATGAACAACAATACTATGTTACAACAACATGAATAGACTGTACATGTTTAAACATCAATCGATCAGGTCTCATCTCAGAGAAACAGGACATATGGAGGTATGAGGTTCCAGAGTGAGTGTATAAGTGTAAAACATAGATATATACATATGCACATACACACTCACTCATCCATATATTTACACATACATTCAACTCACACAACACAACTAGTGAAATAAAAAAATAAAAATCCTATTACCGGTATATAAGCCCTCAGTCCACCAAACAGAAAGTAAGATACGTAAACAAAACAAAAGAACAAAAAAAAAAAACAGCCTAAATGCTGGAATGAGCTTGATGCAGGCCATGACACCTGCAGGTTTAACGGACATGTCGATGGCACACAGACTAGTGCTTTTATCGTGTTTATAGACGGAGCGAGGTTTGACTCGCTCACTCCAAGTGCACCCTCTCCTGGTCAGGGTTTGAAGCGCACTCTTCATTCAAGCACAAATAAACTCAATACACTCACTCATCCATATATTTACACATACATTCAACTCACACAACACACTTCAGACAACTAGTGAAATAAAAAAATAAAAATCCTATTACCGGTATATAAGCCCTCAGTCCACCAAACAGAAAGTAAGATACGTAAACAAAACAAAAGAACAAAAAAAAAAACAGCCTAAATGCTGGAATGAGCTTGATGCAGGCCATGACACCTGCAGGTTTAACGGACATGTCGATGGCACACAGACTAGTGCTTTTATCGTGTTTATAGACGGAGCGAGGTTTGACTCGCTCACTCCAAGTGCACCCTCTCCTGGTCAGGGTTTGAAGCGCACTCTTCATTCAAGCACAAATAAACTCAATAAAAGTCGACTAGTGAAGCAAACAAAGAGAGAACCGGAAGAAACTGAAAATCGGCACGTGGCCACACCATCACCAATGTAAAAAGGAAACAAAAACAAACAAATATCCCAGTTAAAGGAGTTATACAAATTCAGTTGGTCAGATGAGGTTGTGGTTTGAGCTGTGTGATATTATAGATAACTATTTGTGGTTGTTTAAATTTGTCTTATGTCATTATTACAATTTTGTATAATTGTAGAGATCAGCAAAAGCACCATAGATTTAAATAAGCATCTAACATCCCTGTTCCCTCATACATATAAGTTTCATATTAACTGAAAATTAGACTCTTTTCAGTTGGCTTATACTGACCATTATAGAAACAATTAAATAATGCCTCTTATTGGAAAAAAAATTAATAAAAATCCCCAAATTGAGCAATTGCGGCCAAATTAAATGTAAATAAAATCTTCAAATCGAATAAGCTAAAGACATTCATCACATCATATGTGTGTATTCATCATCATGTGGTTAAATGTAAATAAAATCTTCAAATCGAATAAGCTGAAGACATTCATCACATCATATGTGTGTATTCATCATCATGTGGTTTGCGCATGACTCATCTGACAGCATGTAAGTGAGATTAACCGTTCAAGGGTCCTAGTATCTCAGCTGAAAAGCACATTTCCTTAGGAAACAAGCAAAATCCCCAGCTTCACGGATACCAGACAACCAAACGGCTCGGCTCGGAGCGAGCAACACGATACAGCTCTTTCTGAGAGGAATAGGCTCTGTTACACAGCTGCAAGTCGAGGCACTGTAGGTCCTGGGCTCAATGGGTCCTGTTTTTCTGAGCTATTGAGTCCCATGGTGTAACTGTGTGTCTGAGCCCAATATGTCCTATGGTGCAGCTTCACCTCTGGGCACAGTGGGCCCTGTGGTGCAGCTCTGCCTCAGGGATCAGTGGACCCTGTGGTGCAGCTCCATTCATTTGTTGATTGAGCAGCATCCTCAGAATAAGGCGGCGCATTTAGTCAGTACAATTTGGTTTCCTGTTGTTAGCTGTGTATCCTTGGTGATTGGTGAGAGTCGGCTAGCTGAAGAGCATGCTGAGTTTGCTTAAACCTCAGCAGCCTTCAGGCCGATTTTCTCCTCGTCTTGTCAGTCCGAATTGGGTTTCTTTAGTGAGAAAGCGTATATGTTAAAATGATCACTCAGCTGCTTCACCTGCACAGGGAGACAGAAGTAATATAGAAGTAATATTCTTCATAATGAGAAATATTTAAGTGTGCTTGTGCATAAGAATATGACTGTTGCAAAAGATAATTACATCATATTTATTATATAACATATCAAAAAGTTGAATAAAGGATAGTTTGAATAAATAGTTAGGATAGTTATATACAGTGGGTACGGAAAGTATTCAGACCCCCTTAAATTTTTCACTCTTTGTTATATTGCAGCCATTTGCTAAAATCCTTTAAGTAAATTTTTTTTCCTCATTAATGTACACACAGCACCCCATATTGACAGAAAAACACAGAATTGTTGACATTTTTGCAGATTTATTAAAAAAGAAAAACTGAAATATCACATGGTCCTAAGTATTCAGACCCTTTGCTCAGTATTTAGTAGAAGCACCCTTTTGATCTAATACAGCCATGAGTCTTTTTGGGAAAGATGCAACAAGTTTTTCACACCTGGAGTTGGGGATCCTCTGCCATTCCTCCTTGCAGAGCCTCATGATTGTGTAGCCTAGTGAACCAAACTGAGAGACCATTTTTTTAAGGCTCAGGAAACCTTTGGAGGTGTTTTGAGTTGATTAGCATGTCACCATATTCTAATTTGTTGAGATAGTGAATTGGTGGGTTTTTGTTAAATGTGAGCCAAAATCACCACAATTAAAAGAACCAAAGACTTAAACTACTTCAGTCTGTGTGCAATGAATTTATTTAATACACAAGTTTCACAATTTGAGTTGAATTACTGAAATAAATGAACTTTTCCACGACATTCTAATTTATTGAGATGCACCTGTACATACATACACACACATACATATACACATACAATTATTATTATTTTAATATATAACCATCTTAAGGTAAATTAAAAGATTCTTCATGACTAATGAACAGTTTTGTGTGTCTTTACTCACAACTGATACTCCATAGTGAATGTGAGTGAGGATGACTACAGCGGTCCATATGTAAAGGATGATAATTTCACCATTCTGCAAAGTCCCAGATATCACTAGCAACACCACCGCTGTCATCGGCAACAACAACAAACTCAGTGGCTTGCATCGAGTATTACTCATCTGGCATACAATGAGCTTGCACTGAGAGAGAGAGAGAGAGAGAGAGAGAGAGAGAGAGAGAACATGTCAGGAGCAGACATCTGACAAGATGTTTCAAATGGAACTGAAAGACATCCATTGTCATGGCTGCACAACTTGTTTATCTACAGCAGAGAGCTAGTGGACCGAGTACACTCACAGTAACATTGGAGAAGGCTGTTCCCACCATGAGATAAAAGATTCTGGGTTGCTTCTCAATGATGTCTGTAGGAGAGAGACTGATCCACAGTGTAGACAGCACAAACAGGAGGACGGGAGAGAAAAACGGCAACAAGGCCTCATACACCGAACTGTGCTTCAGGGTGTTATTACGGTACGCCCTATAATAATACAGAGAGAAAGAGTGAGAACAAATATCCCTGTTCCAAAGCATACAATATTTAATAGAGAATCAGTAAGCTACACAGTACGAGTCATTTTTATGTAGTCCAAGGCACAAGAGGCCTGGAATGAAACTTACTTAAATACATTGTAGAGGCTCATTGGCAGTGTTACAACAAATAAACAACCTGTTTAAAAAAAAAAATGAATGAGGAAATCAGATAATCCTTTAATTTGCAAGTTTGGCCTAAAAGCGAATGAAAACGCAGCATTTGAAGTATTGTAAGTATTAACTGCCAATGACAGGGCAGAGTTCACTCACCAACAATCATAACAGTGAAGAGATTTCTGTAATGAACATTCCCAATAACAGGTTTGTACCATGTTTCCACACCAACCACCGCTGTTACTATGTACACGACAGAGATAGTCTGGTATAGAGATGGAAACAAAGACATTAATTAATACAAACTGTAAAATGTATTTCCATTCAAGTATCACTAAAGTTTCCATGTGCTGTGTGACGTACAGAATTACGTCTAAATTCTACCCTCAATAATTTTTTTATTTCATATTTTAAAATACACCACTGCTCAAATGTTTGGGGTCAGTATGATTTCTTTTTTTACTTAATACTTAAAATTAATTATTTTATTCATCAAAGATTCATTCCATTGTTTACAAAATGACAAAAACTTTTATAATGTCACAAAAGATTTATATTTCAAAATAACTAACTTTCTGGAAAAACAAATATATATATATATATATATATATATACACATACATACATACACATATGTGTGGGTGTATATACAGTATATATATATATGTGTGTGTGTATATATATATGTGTGTGTGTGTGTGTATGTATATGTATATACATACATATATATATATATACATACATACGGAACAATTATTTTAAATAGTAATATTTCACAATATTGCTGTATTTTTTATAATTTTTTAAAAATCTCAAGACTTTGGAATTTTATTAAAATACATTAGTATATTTTAGTATAATATTACATATTACTAATATAATATTAATATTGCATTATATATAGTTTGGCTATATTTTAATAGTTTATAAAAAAAAAAATTCTTTTCATGAGCTTATCTTTAGGTAATAAATTACCACTTGACTGATGTCGTAGCCCCAGGGCAAGAACAAAATCCCAGTGTTGTACTTCTCCCAGTGGGACAGTATGAAGGAAAACAGGACGACCCATAACAGATAATACAGCGTCACCACTCCGACGCCCGTCTCACTCCGTCCGAAGACAGAGTACACTGTAGCGACGAAGAACACACATGCCCAGCTGTCCAGGCCGTGGTCAAACAGCTCACCCAGCGGAGTGCTGGAGTTTGTTCTCCGAGCCTGTTTGCCGTCCACACCATCTGCATGTACACACACAACAAAATATATTTCAAAGTCATATATGCAAGCATACACACATTCCCACACAAACAATCTCCAAGTTTCCAATCTTGCTCACATTCACAATGTTTCAGAAATTCTCTGGATCCTAGACATAATGTTCACAGCTCTTCCCTTAAAAAACTAGTGTTAAAAAGCAAGCCTCTGCAAATTTGCTGAGTGTTCATATTTTCATGTGCAAATGTGTCTTATGTGGCTGTATTACGGTCAAATATCCTTCTTGGTTAAAGGGCTAGTGAGTTATTAAAAAGTATACAGCACACGTCAGTAGGTTTATAAATGTACACATGTGGGACTAAAAATAAGATGCATGTCAAAATCAATGCATTAGGCTCTAGTATAAATCAATCCTAACACACCTAATATGTGACCCTGGACAACAAAACCAGTCATAAGAGTCAATTTTCTGAAATTTAGATTTATACACCATCTCAGAGCTGAATAAATAAGCTTTCCATTGATGTATGGGTTGTTATGATAGGATTTGGCCGAGATACAACTATTTGAATATCTGGAATCTGAGGGTGCAAAAAAAAAAAAAAAAATCAGAATATTGAGAAAATCGCCTTTAAAGTTGTCCAAATTAAGTTCTTAGTAATGCATATTACTAATCAAAAATTAAGTTTTTATATATTTACAGTAGGAAATTTACAAAATATCTTTATGGAACATGATCTTTACTTAATGTCCTAATGATTTTTGCCATAAAATAAAAATCAATAATTTTGACCCATACAATGTATTTTTGGCTATTGCTACAAATATACCCCAGTGACTTAAGACTGGTTTTGTGGTCCAGGGTCACATATGGTCCATTTTGCTGATAATATTAATCAAACAATTCTACTGAAATGCACAGCTCCATAAGCATTTTGTTCATTTTAAGATCAAATGCCATTATTTTAATTAGCTCATGTTTAGCTTTTTAAATAAAGGAGTGTGTTCAATATCATACAGGTATTTGCGGTGTTAATGAGAATTGTGAATGTTCTGAACAACAACTTGAACAATCTTTTTACTCTATTAGCAAAAATGTGACTTACACACGAATAAATTGATTTTGCAAAATGATTCAGAAAGATTAAGACCACTAGCTGACAGAAGATTAGTACCATTTAAAAAAAAAAAACCTTACCTAAGGTATAGGCCAGAAAATTGAACAAACCAGCAGCTATCCACACCCAGCTTGGCACATGTGTATGGCCTTCCCCTGTGCCACAAAACAACACCCACGAAATAATCAAAGCCATTTGTGAGTAGGTACAATCTCAATTAGGATAACAGCATTAAACTTGAAAATATACAATAAATTGCACAACAAATGACATTAAAAATGAAACATACATACAATACATAACATAAACAATGTGCTCAATTAATTATGTAATGTAATAATTTATATCACTTAAAATAAGTCCAAAAATAGTAAACCGCAGCATTAAACTAAATGAATTGCTATAAAATACACCCATAAAAATACCTACATTTTTATTTCATTAATGAAGAATTAATTTAACTTTTCAATGCTACATATCAGTGAAAAACACTATGACTTCAAAATGTTTTGTCTTCATTACTACCTAATGGAATCAGATTTGTTACTAGCACTAACACTCTTTTTTTGAAAGCAGAACTTGTTTTAATTATTTACTCCACAACACTGAATGTACAGTGTGTATATATGAGGGAGCTGCTATGTGTACAGGTGTGGCTGTGTATTAACAGATGGTTAGCTGATAATTGAGAGAATGATGAGCTGGAAGTGAGACCTTGATCCTTGTCATATAAAAAAAGAATGTACTTACACAACCTTTTTCTTATTACACAATCATTAATTGGTTATTGATGTAATCATAACAAATGTGTTAAAGTCTCTAAGCTTTGAGAAAGAGAGCATTACCCACAATACCCTCTCACTAGTGCATCAAAGCCAAAACAATCATACACACACAGTTTATTGACCTCACCTGAGGCATAAAAGTCAAAGTCGAAAAAGGACAGCAAGGTGAAGGTGAGTACCAGGAACATGAACCCTGTAAATGTGATGAGGTTTGGGGCAAGCCATGTGGGCAAGATCTGAGACAGAGCGAGAAAGAGAGAAATTAGCAAGCTGCAAATGGTCAGATCTTTCTCGCAGGTAATCAGAGCCAGACGGAACATTCATTAATGTTGCATATATGCAATTCAATGAAAGGAAAACACAACGTAATGTTATTCTTTTCATGTAAAATACCTCTATACATTCATGGATTCGAAATATTTTTATAAAGATTGACAGACAAATAACACATTTTCATAAACACATCTTTTAACACAAAATAACATGCAATAAAAACATTTTAATATACAATATGAATAAATGAAAAAATATATAAAATGCTATCCTAAAATGTTTAATTTCTAATTACAAAAATAAATAAAATGCTACACTAAATTTTAAAATAATTATTAAATAATTGTAAATCGAAATATTACAATTTGATAAAATTGTATAGTTAATATACAATTTTAAAATATGAAAATTAATAAAATATTGCTGATTGTCATTCACAGCCTTGAATTTTAATGCATCTACTTACATAAATAAATAAAATAAATGCATTATTTAAATAGTACATTTAAATATTAATCTATAATAGTAAATTATTGTTTTATCTGATGAGAGAGACTGGATGCCCTTTTATATTCTGGTAACATTCAGAACGACAGTCGTGACTCTCACCTTCACGACTGAGTTCCAGAAGGGGTGCATGACGTAGATAGAGAGGGGGTTGGAGTCAACCGCACTGTACTGTTAAAAAAAAAAAAAGGGAGATAAGATATTCAGAATAAGACAGCACATTAACACTCAGGTCCAGAAGTGTGAATGTCGCAAAGTGTTAACAACAGAGTGTTTCTGCCGTCTCAACTAATATTGCACAGTGTCTACAAACTTCAGATGAGATGATTCAAATATCAACTACATAATATCAATAAATCTCTAATTAGATTCTGCACCGTCGAGCCCTGCAACTGGAAAATTAATTCTTAAGTTCAAACCTAGAGGCAATTTAAAATGGCCTGAATGTAATAATGTCTATCAAATATGAAACTCTTCACTACAGCACACATTAGTAAGTGGTATGATTCAGTGGTGATGAAGGCAGATCACTTTTCAACCTCTTCCCCAGCATGTGTTCACTGTGTGAGCTAACACTTAGGGATTGGGCGGCTATTGAAGCCTTGAAAACATCTGGATCTGGGAAGGCCTGAACCAAAACCCTTGAAAAATGGGCTTTCTAAAATGTACGTTTATTCAGCCCAAAATGCTTAGGTAAAAACACACAGTTTGAGGATAAAAAAGAAACCCAATTAAATTAGGAAAATAATGTATACAAAACCACTAATTAAATACACACAAAAATGCTGAAATTAAAACTAAATGATAACCTGATCAGATACAGGGGTAAAATAAACGCACTGCGGTAGTCATGAGAGTGCAGTCATGTATGTTCAATGACCCCTACAAGTATGTGCAAACATGCAGAGCAAGAATAGCACATACCAACTCAGCAGCCTGTACAACTAACAGCCCAAAACACTGGCAATAAATAAACACACCTTATCAGGCCAACAGGACATTACACCAGAAGACACACAGCATCAGAGACGCTTTCATTCACAAGCTCTGTCAAATAACCACTCAGAAATACACAAAACTCTGCGTCACACCCAGGAATTCAACCTCTCGACCCCTTCAGTTCCACACCCTTTTAACCAAATGATCCTCTTCAGAGATGCCTAAAATTAAAGATTTAATTGTTTATTTCATGGACTATAAATTAATAATTATCACATAATAAAAACATATATGCATTATGAAAACATATAACAAAAAAAAAAAAGACAAAAGCAATAATACTGTTATTAGTTGTTTGAGACAATCTTTCAGATATTTTGTTCATTTTTAGCAAGTCATTTATAATTAATAAAATTAAATAAGCACATTATGTTGGATCCTGTTGAACACACATAATGGCACTGTAATATTGTGAATAGGGCTGCACGATTATGACAAATCATAATTGTCGATTATTCCCTTGAAATTGTAATTGCGATTATCACAATTTACATTGAATGATGTTTATACAATTGTTTGATGCAACTGCATGCCATATTTTTATATGAAGATATCCAAGCTGAAAACACTAACTGAAAAACTTTGTGCTTTTCTATAGTATTAAGCCTCAAATGTCAAATATACATGGATTGGTTTCTTCTTTAAATTATAAAAAAGTACAAATATGAATTGTATTGTTATACTAAAACTAAAATAACGGGAAAAACCCTTAAGATAACATGTAGAAAGAAAAAAAAAGCATCTTAAGCATGCAGAATAACATAAGAGGACTTTGAACAATTACGTAATTGTGGCATCCATAATTGTAATCGCGATTAGAAATCCGATTCATGTTTATACCATTGTTTGATGCAACTGCATGCCGTATTTTTATATGAAGTTATCCAAGCTGAAAACACTAACTGAAAAACTTTGTGCTTTTCTATAGTATTAAGCCTCAAATGTCAAATATACATGGATTGGTTTCTTCTTTAAATTATAAAAAAGTACAAATATGAATTGTATTGTTATACTAAAACTAAAATAACGGGAAAAACCCTTAAGATAACATGTAGAAAGAAAAAAACAGCATCTTAAGCACGCAGAATAACATAAGAGGACTTTGAACAATTACGTAATTGTGGCATCCATAATTGTAATCGCGATTAGAAATCCGATTCATTGTGCAGCCCTAATTGTGAAATAATATTATAACTTAAAATAACCGTGTACCATTTTAATATATTATTTACAAATGTAATTTATTCCTGTGATTGCAAAGCTAATTTTTCAGTAATAATTACTCCAGTCTTCAGTGTCACATGATCCTTCAGAAATCATTCTAATATGTTCATTTGGTGCTCAAGAAACATTTCTTATCATTATCATCATTGTTGAAAACAGTTGTGCTGCCTAATATTTGTGTGAAAACCTTGATACATTTTTTCAGGATTGTTTTATGAACAATAGTTCAAAAGAACAGCCTTTAGATAGATAGATAGATAGATAGATAGATAGATAGATAGATAATCCAAGACATTGGTGCTCAAGAAACATTTCTTATCATTATCATCATTGTTGAAAACAGTTGTGCTGCCTAATATTTGTGTGAAAACCTTGATAAATTTTTTCAGGATTGTTTTATGAACAATAGTTCAAAAGAACAGCCTTTAGATAGATAGATAGATAGATAGATAGATAGATAGACAGATAATCCAAGACAAACGCCCACAGAATAAGAAGTTACAATAATGAACAAAACAGATACGGTTTATGCAAGCAGTTAACTATTGGATAAAGAAAGAGCTTTGCATCTCAATCCTTTCAGGTGCTTCTTCTTCTGTAAATTATATCAGAGGACTCTGACACTACACTGCTATAATACAGTAACACCTGCATTTCAAATGAACACAACGAACAATTAAAGTGAAAGCACGGGGAGCTTGTGTCTCACATGCAAATGATGTCCTTACCACCATAGATCCTTGTTAAGATGCGGAACCAGGAGCCCATCCCTTTACAATTCAACCCAATGTACAAACTAACCGACAACAAAGCATGTAGACCAACTGCAACAAAACTGGACACCGTGTTTAGCTGGTAAAACTATGTTTAGAACTGAAGATCTACTTTCACCGGCGGTTTCAAGTCACTGTGGAAACACAGTGAATTAACCGGTTAATAACACTAATATGTCCTTAAAACCTTTGAGTTGGATGTATATATATACTAATAACTAAATGTTGTATCATTTCAACCCACAAATTCGAGGGGAAAATATACCATTTCTCTTTAAAAGTGGCAATAAGCCGCCGTTGTCCTTTCTAGAGAGGCACACACCGGCAGACCTCATGCTTCATGATAGCATTAACAGCACGGCTCGGCTAGCAGACACCCTAAAGTCCTACACACTTTAAAGAATAAGAGCGGCCTTACCTTATATTTATCAAAACCTGAGCGTTGCTCTTGGGTGACATAGTGGTAGAGAGCCATGATGACCGCAGCACGGCTCTGAGACAGACCGAAATTCAGCACCGTGTCGGCGCTCAGTATCCGCAGTGCTGCGCGTGAGCGGCGGTGCAGTGGCGTGACGTCTGAAGGGTGTTCTTTCATAATAAAAGCCGACCTGGAACTTGCAGTAAAACATCAGTAACACGAGTTTTAATTGCTTTGATGCTACGGAAGCTTCGTGACAGGTACCTTACGTCCATCTAAATATTACAGTTTTTTTTTTCAACTGCTTACACACAAAATCTTTACTGGTCACACAACTTCTGAAACCTGACACTCAAACACCAGAACCACACACCAAACCTGCAAAACCATAGGCTACACAAATCATAGGCCTTTCACTCAGTTCTCAATTTCATAAAACACTTTTTGCAAAACACAATTCTCTATGTAACGCACAAAAATCTAACAGGAAGAGTCTTGATTTCCTTTTTCAAACACAACCAATCAAAGTGCCTCATACTGAACTCCTCACATGTGCAAACACTCGTTGCTTTACTTAAAACCAACCCATCATGGCTTTAGAATAGGCCTATAAATACACATCTACACGTGGTTGATGTATTTATTTTCTTTTGTACTGTGTAATACTGTATTCACAACCACAAATGCTTACAGTAAAAAAAGCAAAAAATGGTTTCGATCTTGCTTTCGTGCCAGTTACTCTCTCTGCCAGTTACTTTCAATCTTGTACAGAAATGTACATAGGAGCTCATGACAGAAGAGCTTTAGGTTTTGAATAACTGTGTGTAGGCTATATGATATATCTAAAAATGTCTTATGGCGCAGGTGTTTGCAATGTAAGACAAATGTTTGCTTTTGAGATGTGTTTGTGATATTGTGAATGCAGTGCTTCATTTTGCAAGAGACGTGAGGCATTTTGTGTGTGCATTGCTTGGATTTGTGTGTAAAGTTTTGAAAAAAAGAGGCAAAGTTTTGAAAATGTAAGCATAAATTGTAAAAGGGCATCTATATTTTCTCGAATAAAGCCCCCCAAATTAAACTGTAAAATTAATATTCTAAATATATAGCCTATATTTTAGAACATTTTTAGATTGTATTTAGTTATATTACGTTGTTTTTCTACTCATAGTGCTGTACTAATTGATAATTATATATATATTTATTTATTTATTTTTACACGTACATTTTTATATTGTTTTTCTTTCAACTTTTCTACGGACCACCCAGCCCACGCACGGGGGCAGCAGGGATCCTCGGAACTCAGTTTGAAAACCCCTGGACTAGTCTACATAAAACATTAACAAATGTTCCACCATATAGACTAAATATGCAGTGTTACAAAAACGATTATTTTACCCTACGTGAGCTGGGAATTGAGTTAGTTGTCACACTTTTTATTTCTCATTGTAAGTTAATTTGATTTTTTTTCTATATGCATATACCTTAAAGGTATGGATAAAATAGCTATTTAATAAATTGTTTATATTATATGTAATTAATATGTATAAACTAAATATGGACACATGGCTCGCTCATGCTGTTGTGTCACTGTCTACCCACTAGGGGACGCTACAAATACACGAATCTAAAAAATCGTTAACACCTCTGTAGAACGGTTACGTCTGACACAACTGCATGGCTATCGATTAAAATTAAATTAACTTATCGTGCGTTTATACGACATGTCGATATACACAGTTATACAAAAAGCCTACTTCAGAACATCTAAGAGTGATTGTGTGCATTTTAGTCTCAAGAAAATGTGAATAAGCAGCTATCACAAAGACTTCCCCTAAAATGAAAACTGAGTTAAATAGAGAAGCAGAGAAAAACGGACAATTTTTTCTGACAAATCAGGGTGTTTGTTTAATTGCATACCTCTATATATTGTTTCATGGAATTAAAAGTCATGCAAATTTAAAACTAAGTAACACATTGTGGCTAGGGGCAGTTAAAGAGTGAAACCTGAAATATCATTATTAGGATGACATATCTTCAAATCACAGTAATAGGGGACTAATACAATGACATGGATCTGCATTTATTAACATGCCATACAAAGTGTCACATTTCAAATAGCTACAATTCACAAACCTAATCTCTGATTAAGGTGCTTGGGCCCCACATCGGTTGTTTGCCGATATTAAACACAGGTCATGTTACATTTAAGACAACTATTAGAAACAGGTCACATTCATAAAGGCATCTAAAAACATTTAAACAATAATGTTTCTACACACATTCTATTATGCATAAAATATTATATAAAAAAAAGAATAATAAATCATACATTGTTTTAAGATATGTTGCATAATTATATTTATTTAAAATTTAACAAAGTAAAGTTCATCAAGGATCTAGAAAGTAAAAACTGGATCTTGCTGGAATTGGGAACTTCAGCACAATAACAACATGATTAATTCTGTACAAGCCCCATTTAGTTTCTCTATTAAATGTAAATTTTTTAAACAAATATTAAAGCCAGTAACTTAGCCTGGAGACATTTCCCTAACCCCAGTCCCAGAAGGCATCTGCAAACCTTTTTCATGTTTTTTACGCTGATTTTGAGTGAAAGATTTTGGAATGGATTATAACACGCTAAAATGGAACTGAAGGCATAATCAATTTAGCCAAACACAAAAGGTGTGGGGAATATGTAGAAATGTATGAATGATGGGCATTCCAGTTCTGAAGAAATCTGTCCATGCAAGCCTGTAGATCCCAGAAGTGTCATGGTGTCAGTCCCATTAAGGAAGAGAATCACCTTTACCACGGGATAGGGGGTGTTCGTGTGGGCGGGGCTTGTTTTGACTGTGAATGTGCCGGAGGTTTTTTTGTGAGGGTCGAGCAAAACAGGATGTCAAAGCGCGTGAGCTGCAGTCACAGGCTCCATCCTGGCAAAGAGACAGCAAAGAGTTAGGAGATACGCTCAGCATTATAACAAATCATGTGACATTAAGACAAAGACTTTGCAAAATAGTAATAATGTATATTTTCTAGTTGTATTTAATAAAAATGAGTTCCAATTTGATCCTCCTGATTGTATGTGTCCCATATACTTTATACAGTATATCATTGTTTTAAAAGAATATTTCTGCTTGTTAAAAATAAAACAACTATGTAAAATATGTAATATGTATCTTTAAAATACACATGGATATGTCATATTGATAACCAGCCAGTTAACAGATTGACTCACAAATCTATACATAACATACCAAGAAATAACTTTTATTGAGGAAGTGAGTTTTGTGAACTCAATAACGGCTCTGAGCAAGTCTGATTCAAACAGTGACTAACAAGTGAGTCCGAGGCCATTTGGTGAATCTCAGACTTGCTAAAAGTGTTGATACATAAGAATCATTAGTTCCTGACAAAACCGCATATGGACACATAGAGTGTTTCCAGAGTGACAAGATTTCAAATGACTGTCGCACTTATTATTTTTGCAATCATTTTAGTCTCACTGAAATATTACTCCCTCAACACCTTCAGTTTAGTTTTTTGTTATTGAATGGGTTAAACTTTGCTACTAACCTCCAAGCCCTTGTTCTTTCTGACTGAACCCCTGTCGATTTGGCGCTGAGTTTGGATCTGGCTCTGACACACCGTCTCCTCTTTTTGGCTTTGTTTCATAAATCTGCGGTTCACAATTTTGGTGATGCTGTCGTTTCTGACCAGTGGCACTGCTGGTATACGAGATGGGGGATGCTCGGATTTCTTTGAACCCACCAGACCGATGTGATCCCTACGAGCTGCTGGCGCTTTCTCCATCTCCGGGTTGGTCTTTTCTCCTCGACCACAGACATTGCGCAGAAACTCATGGACCAGACCATATTTGTGAACGCCTACATTTTTACGGCCACCATGTTTATCGCTGCCCTGCACTGATACTGAACTCGGCCTGCTAGGTGTCGAAGCACGTTGCGGCAGAGCCCACAAACCACGCTCTTTTGCTCCATAATCTAGCCTGGAGGAGGCGCTCGGAGATGAGGAGGGGGACAAAGAGGATGTGGTGAAAGAGGAAGAGGATGAGGGGGATGTGGAAGAGGAAGACTTAGAGGAAAACGGAGAGGATGCAGAGTGTCTGCGTTGTATTTTTGGCGAGGTGGTCTGTGGTTGAAACCGATCTGCTGGACCAGGGACCCTTTCCAGTGACACTGATGTCTGCGGGGTTCTTGAAGATACAAATGAGGTCACTCGGGGCGACCAGTGCTTCGCAGCATGAAGACATCGAGGACCATCGGTTTGTAGCCCAACTGTGGTCACCTGTGGTTGGGATTGAGTTTGCGTTCCTATACTCACAACACTTACCATACTGCTCCCAAAATCCTTTGCTCTTTTCCTCTCCAGAGGGCTGGATTGGGAGGTTTGCAGCACACTGGCTGTGATTTCCTTCATGTCATCACTCAGGTTGGCTGAGACGTCCAAGTTATTGAAAGCCAAGCGTGAAGGGGATGTCATACTGGAGGTCTGAAGACCAGAGGAGGATGTAGAACTGATGACAGCCTTCGAATCTCTCTCCATCAAACTTTGGCAGTCAAACGGCAGGCTACCCAGCCAGTTTTCATACGCAGCGGCCCAGTCTTGGTTTACAAGGCCACAGGAAACAGCATTGAAATGTGGTTCCTGGCTCTCCTTAAGCGCTTCCTCCTCTGCTGCTATCGGAGAGCTCATTTGGATCCTTTTTGCTGATGGTGGGCTGTAATATATACGAATGCTGGTTCTCTCTGGAGCAGTGTGGCTTCTCTGGGTCAGCTCCTGGTTTAAGGTCAGACCAAGGAAACTGGGAGGCATGATAGGAGAGTCCCAAGTCTTGCAGGGGTCTTCTCTGTCCAGAACGGCAGCTTCTCGACTGAGGTACTTCCAGTTCTTGTTGGGTTTTGCCATGCCAGTTTTGAGAGGCATCCTGTTGGAAAAGCAAACTATGTTAAAGAATTCAATCAGATAATTTGAGTTCAAACTATGGCGCAAACAAACGAATCAAGCTGACCTCTCCATTTTTGCATCTTTGGTCAACATCTTGTATCTGGGGGACTGAAAATGCATCAGAAGGATTATTATTTGTGCATGCATAATTAGTTCAGTTGTGTAATTTTATTATATATTAAATATCATTTAATAACAAAATACTTCTAAAACACCTTTTACATTAAGAATAAAATGAAACAATTTAGGGACTTAAAGGATTAAAATAAATGACATATTGTATGCAATGCATTGCAATATAACCTTTCAGCAGAAAAAGAGTGAATCGTTTTAAGTTTTAATCATTTTAATCCTTCCCATATTGCTTAGGGATGTGCATGTACCATTTTAATATATTATTTACAAATGTAATTTATTCCTGTGATTGCAAAGCTAATTTTTCAGTAATAATTACTCCAGTCTTCAGTGTCACATGATCCTTCAGAAATCATTCTAATATGTTCATTTGGTGCTCAAGAAACATTTCTTATCATTATCATCATTGTTGAAAACAGTTGTGCTGCCTAATATTTGTGTGAAAACCTTGATAAATTTTTTCAGGATTGTTTTATGAACAATAGTTCAAAAGAACAGCCTTTAGATAGATAGATAGATAGATAGATAGATAGATAGACAGATAATCCAAGACAAACGCCCACAGAATAAGAAGTTAAAATAATGAACAAAACAGATACGGTTTATGCAAGCAGTTAACTATTGGATAAAGAAAGAGCTTTGCATCTCAATCCTTTCAGGTGCTTCTTCTTCTGTAAATTATATCAGAGGACTCTGACACTACACTGCTATAATACAGTAACACCTGCATTTCAAATGAACACAACGAACAATTAAAGTGAAAGCACGGGGAGCTTGTGTCTCACATGCAAATGATGTCCTTACCACCATAGATCCTTGTTAAGATGCGGAACCAGGAGCCCATCCCTTTACAATTCAACCCAATGTACAAACTAACCGACAACAAAGCATGTAGACCAACTGCAACAAAACTGGACACCGTGTTTAGCTGGTAAAACTATGTTTAGAACTGAAGATCTACTTTCACCGGCGGTTTCAAGTCACTGTGGAAACACAGTGAATTAACCGGTTAATAACACTAATATGTCCTTAAAACCTTTGAGTTGGATGTATATATATACTAATAACTAAATGTTGTATCATTTCAACCCACAAATTCGAGGGGAAAATATACCATTTCTCTTTAAAAGTGGCAATAAGCCGCCGTTGTCCTTTCTAGAGAGGCACACACCGGCAGACCTCATGCTTCATGATAGCATTAACAGCACGGCTCGGCTAGCAGACACCCTAAAGTCCTACACACTTTAAAGAATAAGAGCGGCCTTACCTTATATTTATCAAAACCTGAGCGTTGCTCTTGGGTGACATAGTGGTAGAGAGCCATGATGACCGCAGCACGGCTCTGAGACAGACCGAAATTCAGCACCGTGTCGGCGCTCAGTATCCGCAGTGCTGCGCGTGAGCGGCGGTGCAGTGGCGTGACGTCTGAAGGGTGTTCTTTCATAATAAAAGCCGACCTGGAACTTGCAGTAAAACATCAGTAACACGAGTTTTAATTGCTTTGATGCTACGGAAGCTTCGTGACAGGTACCTTACGTCCATCTAAATATTACAGTTTTTTTTTTCAACTGCTTACACACAAAATCTTTACTGGTCACACAACTTCTGAAACCTGACACTCAAACACCAGAACCACACACCAAACCTGCAAAACCATAGGCTACACAAATCATAGGCCTTTCACTCAGTTCTCAATTTCATAAAACACTTTTTGCAAAACACAATTCTCTATGTAACGCACAAAAATCTAACAGGAAGTGTCTTGATTTCCTTTTTCAAACACAACCAATCAAAGTGCCTCATACTGAACTCCTCACATGTGCAAACACTCGTTGCTTTACTTAAAACCAACCCATCATGGCTTTAGAATAGGCCTATAAATACACATCTACACGTGGTTGATGTATTTATTTTCTTTTGTACTGTGTAATACTGTATTCACAACCACAAATGCTTACAGTAAAAAAAAGCAAAAAATGGTTTCGATCTTGCTTTCGTGCCAGTTACTCTCTCTGCCAGTTACTTTCAATCTTGTACAGAAATGTACATAGGAGCTCATGACAGAAGAGCTTTAGGTTTTGAATAACTGTGTGTAGGCTATATGATATATCTAAAAATGTCTTATGGCGCAGGTGTTTGCAATGTAAGACAAATGTTTGCTTTTGAGATGTGTTTGTGATATCACTGAACTCCTCACATGTGCCTTTACTCCTTTTACCTAGTACCTAGTACCTAGTACTCCTCACTCGTTGCTTTACTTAAAACCAACCCATCATGGCTTTAGAATAGGCCTATAAATACACATCTACACGTGGTTGATGTATTTATTTTCTTTTGTACTGTGTAATACTGTATTCACAACCACAAATGCTTACAGTAAAAAAAGCAAAAAATGGTTTCGATCTTGCTTTCGTGCCAGTTACTCTCTCTGCCAGTTACTTTCAATCTTGTACAGAAATGTACATAGGAGCTCATGACAGAAGAGCTTTAGGTTTTGAATAACTGTGTGTAGGCTATATGATATATCTAAAAATGTCTTATGGCGCAGGTGTTTGCAATGTAAGACAAATGTTTGCTTTTGAGATGTGTTTGTGATATTGTGAATGCAGTGCTTCATTTTGCAAGAGACGTGAGGCATTTTGTGTGTGCATTGCTTGGATTTGTGTGTAAAGTTTTGAAAAAAAGAGGCAAAGTTTTGAAAATGTAAGCATAAATTGTAAAAGGGCATCTATATTTTCTCGAATAAAGCCCCCCAAATTAAACTGTAAAATTAATATTCTAAATATATAGCCTATATTTTAGAACATTTTTAGATTGTATTTAGTTATATTACGTTGTTTTTCTACTCATAGTGCTGTACTAATTGATAATTATATATATATTTATTTATTTATTTTTACACGTACATTTTTATATTGTTTTTCTTTCAACTTTTCTACGGACCACCCAGCCCACGCACGGGGGCAGCAGGGATCCTCGGAACTCAGTTTGAAAACCCCTGGACTAGTCTACATAAAACATTAACAAATGTTCCACCATATAGACTAAATATGCAGTGTTACAAAAACGATTATTTTACACTACGTGAGCTGGGAATTGAGTTAGTTGTCACACTTTTTATTTCTCATTGTAAGTTAATTTGATTTTTTTTCTATATGCATATACCTTAAAGGTATGGATAAAATAGCTATTTAATAAATTGTTTATATTATATGTAATTAATATGTATAAACTAAATATGGACACATGGCTCGCTCATGCTGTTGTGTCACTGTCTACCCACTAGGGGACGCTACAAATACACGAATCTAAAAAATCGTTAACACCTCTGTAGAACGGTTACGTCTGACACAACTGCATGGCTATCGATTAAAATTAAATTAACTTATCGTGCGTTTATACGACATGTCGATATACACAGTTATACAAAAAGCCTACTTCAGAACATCTAAGAGTGATTGTGTGCATTTTAGTCTCAAGAAAATGTGAATAAGCAGCTATCACAAAGACTTCCCCTAAAATGAAAACTGAGTTAAATAGAGAAGCAGAGAAAAACGGACAATTTTTTCTGACAAATCAGGGTGTTTGTTTAATTGCATACCTCTATATATTGTTTCATGGAATTAAAAGTCATGCAAATTTAAAACTAAGTAACACATTGTGGCTAGGGGCAGTTAAAGAGTGAAACCTGAAATATCATTATTAGGATGACATATCTTCAAATCACAGTAATAGGGGACTAATACAATGACATGGATCTGCATTTATTAACATGCCATACAAAGTGTCACATTTCAAATAGCTACAATTCACAAACCTAATCTCTGATTAAGGTGCTTGGGCCCCACATCGGTTGTTTGCCGATATTAAACACAGGTCATGTTACATTTAAGACAACTATTAGAAACAGGTCACATTCATAAAGGCATCTAAAAACATTTAAACAATAATGTTTCTACACACATTCTATTATGCATAAAATATTATATAAAAAAAAGAATAATAAATCATACATTGTTTTAAGATATGTTGCATAATTATATTTATTTAAAATTTAACAAAGTAAAGTTCATCAAGGATCTAGAAAGTAAAAACTGGATCTTGCTGGAATTGGGAACTTCAGCACAATAACAACATGATTAATTCTGTACAAGCCCCATTTAGTTTCTCTATTAAATGTAAATTTTTTAAACAAATATTAAAGCCAGTAACTTAGCCTGGAGACATTTCCCTAACCCCAGTCCCAGAAGGCATCTGCAAACCTTTTTCATGTTTTTTACGCTGATTTTGAGTGAAAGATTTTGGAATGGATTATAACACGCTAAAATGGAACTGAAGGCATAATCAATTTAGCCAAACACAAAAGGTGTGGGGAATATGTAGAAATGTATGAATGATGGGCATTCCAGTTCTGAAGAAATCTGTCCATGCAAGCCTGTAGATCCCAGAAGTGTCATGGTGTCAGTCCCATTAAGGAAGAGAATCACCTTTACCACGGGATAGGGGGTGTTCGTGTGGGCGGGGCTTGTTTTGACTGTGAATGTGCCGGAGGTTTTTTTGTGAGGGTCGAGCAAAACAGGATGTCAAAGCGCGTGAGCTGCAGTCACAGGCTCCATCCTGGCAAAGAGACAGCAAAGAGTTAGGAGATACGCTCAGCATTATAACAAATCATGTGACATTAAGACAAAGACTTTGCAAAATAGTAATAATGTATATTTTCTAGTTGTATTTAATAAAAATGAGTTCCAATTTGATCCTCCTGATTGTATGTGTCCCATATACTTTATACAGTATATCATTGTTTTAAAAGAATATTTCTGCTTGTTAAAAATAAAACAACTATGTAAAATATGTAATATGTATCTTTAAAATACACATGGATATGTCATATTGATAACCAGCCAGTTAACAGATTGACTCACAAATCTATACATAACATACCAAGAAATAACTTTTATTGAGGAAGTGAGTTTTGTGAACTCAATAACGGCTCTGAGCAAGTCTGATTCAAACAGTGACTAACAAGTGAGTCCGAGGCCATTTGGTGAATCTCAGACTTGCTAAAAGTGTTGATTCATAAGAATCATTAGTTCCTGACAAAACCGCATATGGACACATAGAGTGTTTCCAGAGTGACAAGATTTCAAATGACTGTCGCACTTATTATTTTTGCAATCATTTTAGTCTCACTGAAATATTACTCCCTCAACACCTTCAGTTTAGTTTTTTGTTATTGAATGGGTTAAACTTTGCTACTAACCTCCAAGCCCTTGTTCTTTCTGACTGAACCCCTGTCGATTTGGCGCTGAGTTTGGATCTGGCTCTGACACACCGTCTCCTCTTTTTGGCTTTGTTTCATAAATCTGCGGTTCACAATTTTGGTGATGCTGTCGTTTCTGACCAGTGGCACTGCTGGTATACGAGATGGGGGATGCTCGGATTTCTTTGAACCCACCAGACCGATGTGATCCCTACGAGCTGCTGGCGCTTTCTCCATCTCCGGGTTGGTCTTTTCTCCTCGACCACAGACATTGCGCAGAAACTCATGGACCAGACCATATTTGTGAACGCCTACATTTTTACGGCCACCATGTTTATCGCTGCCCTGCACTGATACTGAACTCGGCCTGCTAGGTGTCGAAGCACGTTGCGGCAGAGCCCACAAACCACGCTCTTTTGCTCCATAATCTAGCCTGGAGGAGGCGCTCGGAGATGAGGAGGGGGACAAAGAGGATGTGGTGAAAGAGGAAGAGGATGAGGGGGATGTGGAAGAGGAAGACTTAGAGGAAAACGGAGAGGATGCAGAGTGTCTGCGTTGTATTTTTGGCGAGGTGGTCTGTGGTTGAAACCGATCTGCTGGACCAGGGACCCTTTCCAGTGACACTGATGTCTGCGGGGTTCTTGAAGATACAAATGAGGTCACTCGGGGCGACCAGTGCTTCGCAGCATGAAGACATCGAGGACCATCGGTTTGTAGCCCAACTGTGGTCACCTGTGGTTGGGATTGAGTTTGCGTTCCTATACTCACAACACTTACCATACTGCTCCCAAAATCCTTTGCTCTTTTCCTCTCCAGAGGGCTGGATTGGGAGGTTTGCAGCACACTGGCTGTGATTTCCTTCATGTCATCACTCAGGTTGGCTGAGACGTCCAAGTTATTGAAAGCCAAGCGTGAAGGGGATGTCATACTGGAGGTCTGAAGACCAGAGGAGGATGTAGAACTGATGACAGCCTTCGAATCTCTCTCCATCAAACTTTGGCAGTCAAACGGCAGGCTACCCAGCCAGTTTTCATATGCAGCGGCCCAGTCTTGGTTTACAAGGCCACAGGAAACAGCATTGAAATGTGGTTCCTGGCTCTCCTTAAGCGCTTCCTCCTCTGCTGCTATCGGAGAGCTCATTTGGATCCTTTTTGCTGATGGTGGGCTGTAATATATACGAATGCTGGTTCTCTCTGGAGCAGTGTGGCTTCTCTGGGTCAGCTCCTGGTTTAAGGTCAGACCAAGGAAACTGGGAGGCATGATAGGAGAGTCCCAAGTCTTGCAGGGGTCTTCTCTGTCCAGAACGGCAGCTTCTCGACTGAGGTACTTCCAGTTCTTGTTGGGTTTTGCCATGCCAGTTTTGAGAGGCATCCTGTTGGAAAAGCAAACTATGTTAAAGAATTCAATCAGATAATTTGAGTTCAAACTATGGCGCAAACAAACGAATCAAGCTGACCTCTCCATTTTTGCATCTTTGGTCAACATCTTGTATCTGGGGGACTGAAAATGCATCAGAAGGATTATTATTTGTGCATGCATAATTAGTTCAGTTGTGTAATTTTATTATATATTAAATATCATTTAATAACAAAATACTTCTAAAACACCTTTTACATTAAGAATAAAATGAAACAATTTAGGGACTTAAAGGATTAAAATAAATGACATATTGTATGCAATGCATTGCAATATAACCTTTCAGCAGAAAAAGAGTGAATCGTTTTAAGTTTTAATCATTTTAATCCTTCCCATATTGCTTAGGGATGTGCAAATTTAAGATAAACTGCATCAAATGAAAAGGCCTGTCTTATTTAGAAAGTGTGTCAGAGAGATTACAAAAAAGAAAACAGCGAGAAAACCCTTGGATCAGGAAAAAAAAATAATGGCAAAATTCCTTTGCACTCCAATCCAGGCTTTACTTAACCCCATCAAACTGTCACTGTCTGCATTCCACTTTTATTATTAGCATCTATGATAATAATAAACAGGAATTTTTGTTTAAAGGAAAGAATGAATCTGCTGTAGTGTAAACCCAGAGGACGACGACAATAGAAAGATCCATTATGCCTTTGTTCCTTTGTATAATGCTTCCTCATTTCTCTCTCGCCTCCTTTCCCTTAACCCTGCACAATGTTACCCTCCGTTTACTGTAAAGGAAAGTAAACTTCAGCTGAGCTTTGATAAGTCTCTCTGTGGTCACTGTGGTTTGGCTAAGCTCTTTTCAGAGTCAGAAGTTGTGATCGAAGCTGATGTCTGCACTCCGCCTGCTGTCCTACAGTACAGTCCCAAAAGGGGATTAGCCTAAATTCAGTTGCCATGCGGCCTTTTCACACACACATGCTTACGGGCATGTCTCATATCTCTGATCACTGTTGCTCTAGTAGGACTGTAAAAAAATTATTTTATTAATGATAATTCAGACTTCAGATAGCAGAGAGCATGAACTACTGTTCAAAAGTGTGGAGTCTGTGAGATATTTGAATGTTTTTGAAAGAAGTCACTTGTGTTCACCAAGGCTGAATTCATTTGATTAATTCATTTTCAATTAAAAAAAATTCTCTATTTGAATATTTCTTTAAAAAATGTAATTTATTCCTGTGATATAAAAGCTGAATTTTAAGCAGCCATACTGAAATACTGAAAATGTATTTGAAATTCTGTAATTTTTAATCAGTTTAAGGCATGTTAAAAAATATATAAATTTCTTTTAAAAATTACTGATAACAAACTTTTGAGTGGTCACACAAAAAAATGCAAAAAAATGACCTAAATAGTGGAAATAGGTAAATATAAATATTAACAGAATTATAAAAAAAAACACTGGTCCGATTCAAACACTAGTTAATACGTTAGATATCACGAACTAATGTCTACATAACGTGTTAATTTCTGCATATACAATTTTTTCTTTTTTACATTTTATTTAAATTAATATTAGTTAATTAGAAATGAATAAACATACTATTGTTTATAAATAAATTTATTTATTTAGTTTATAAATTATTTATAAATTAATATTTTACCTAATGTTCATGATACCTAGTGGACTAGGTATTATAAAATGTTACCAATAAAATAACTATTAAATAATAGTTGACCCCCCCCCCCCCTTACTAGACTACTGTCTAGTAAGACCTGTTTTGATGGTTGACCTTTGACAGATGAAATCATGTCAAAGTTCCACATTACACTAAATATGTAAATTATTGTTTCAGTGTATTACACAAATTTTTGCTCTGACCTGCATTTTTTTATTTTGCTTAGCTGTCTTCAACCCTTCGCACTCTAGACGCACATGGTTCAGGTGTTCTAGCAGTTCCTGCTGCTCAGAGCTCCAGCTGCTTTCACGGACCTTCAGCTGTCTTGTCAGGTCCATCACTGCAGTGTAGGACTCTGCTAACAGGTGCTGAAGCTTCTCAATATGGTCCTTCTGCAAAGCCGCATTCAGGTCTGATGGACCCTTTACTCCTGCCTTCCCAGCTGAACCATCCAGCTATAAACAAACACAAACAACTTGATGACATTTCTGCGACAATTTCCTCCATAAGTCCCTACAGACGCAAGAATGAAGAAAGAAGAGGAGACGACATGAGAAGCAGACAACAGGTTCATTGATACTCTCTGAAGGGAATTTAAACTGATCTTCTAGTTCTCACCCTGCTTATGAGGCTCTTGAGCTCTGCACATTCCACGGCCCACGCTGCTTTGGCTTTAGCAAACTGCCGGATGACAAACTGGGCTGCCCTGTGCTGCTCCATAAGTTCAGAAAACAGATCCGACAGTGCTGTCCTGAGGTCTGACAGCAGGGCACTGCTTACCTGAGAAAGGAACATACAGTGGTGAATGAACACTGGGCAACAGGAACACAACCAGATTAACTGGAAATGAGCAACAGGTCAAGGAACAATGCTATTGGGCAACTATTCTCAAAGAGCAGGCATGTTCAGCTATAATATATTATGAAAAGGGCACATTTTTGAATTACATTCTTTCAGGCTGAATGTATTGCACAATGAAATGCTTTTGGAAGTCATGTTGAAACACTATTATTTTTACCCCAGTAATCCTCATTCTATTTCATACCTGACTGTTGCACTTCTGTTGAAGATTATACTCGCATGCTTTTGACTCTGTGTCCTTAAGCAGATGATGATCATTCTGACAATACATCTGAAACGAAAAGACACATAAAATTGGTTGTTTCTGAGTGAAATAAACTTTACACCATTTTAACATTTATTGAGTGAAATTATTTATGTTATTATTTTAACAAAATGTCACACTGCAGAATTTTGGCACTAATAAAGCTTTTTTTTATTTTAATTAAGTGAAATATATGAAAAAATATATAGAATTACAGAAAAAGCATTTAAGGATTATATAAATACAGAATATTTTATTTTGCCTCATTTTCAATCTTACTCTCTTTTTCTTAATCTCTCTATAAATATATATTAGCTCAAATTATGCAAATGGTGTGAAAAATATTATGTAACTGTGCCTATTTAGGACACATTAAATGGTAAACATGTATTTTCCACAACAGAACATTATTAACACACAATACACGATGAGATGGGAAAGATTGGATGGGAATTCATGTATACATACTGTATCACTGAACATTGTTAGTGGGCGAATTAAATAAATCAAAAGTGTGTTTTTGGTATAAAGGGCCCAAAAAGTGCCCAAAGTTGACAAAACACCCAACTACACAACATTTACATATATGCTTTTGGCAGGCATTTTTATTTTGCATTCAATGTACATTTACATTTATTTATTGATAGGTTCTTGCTTTCCCTGGGAATAGAAGCCCTGATCTTGGCATTGCTAGCGTTATGTCTGAACTACAGGAAAGCATTTACTGTTATTTCAACTGCAAGTAAGAATCAATATAAAGAAAATTTTAACCATCTTCATCGATAAAGATGGTTGACCGCAATAGCAAGCATCGTTGCCCAATTTACCTCAAACAGGCTCTTTCCATCAGCTGTGGGTCTCTCTCCCTGCCTCCACTGCTGGATGAACCATTGGAGCTGCAGATTGAGCAGCACTAAGCTGTCCTGGTTACAATGATTTCCAACATTTTCTTCACATGGAAGTTTGCGACTTGCTTGATTCTTTGAGTCCTCTTTCATTTCAATTAAATCTTCGTCAAAACGCAACATATTCTTCTCTGTAACAGGCCCAGGGCGCTCTGAATTGGAGTTTGACAGCACCTCCAACTTTTTGACAAGAGCATGCAGTTGTGCTTGTAACACCTCTAATCCATTGGTCAAGGGACTCAGCATGGGGTCTAAAAGCCACTGATGTGTTTTGCACTGAGGATCTACTGCAGATTTGCCTAAGTAGGGAGCACCAGCAGGAGTGTTATGGGTACATGTAGGTGAGAGGCCATTTTTTGCTGGGGTTATTAGGAGCTGGATAGTCGATCTGACAAGCAGCGCCTGGTCATGGATGGCAAGAAGACTCTCTAGATCTTTCACTCCAAATGTGCAGTCTGACATACACTGAGCTTGTCCGTCTTCCGCTTTAGTTTCTGCAGAAAGCTCCTGTTCCCCACCAATCGGCCCTTCTCTGTGCATGTGGCTGATAGAAGCATGAACCTCCTCTACATGCATCTGGTTCTCCTGCATATTATTGTGGGTAGTCGTTGCATCTCCATTCTCTTTCCCATCCAGACATCCACCTCTAAGCATCTCCCCCTGTTCCCCAGTTTGGAGAGGCACTGCTAATCCTTCACTGGCCCCCTTCATCGTCTCCTCTTCTTCCAGGCTTCCTCCTCCTCGTTCACGCAGTTCACTCATCTCTGCTCGCAACCCACGGTTCTCTACCTCTAGCTCCACTATTCGACGACTCAGCAGCGTGGCTTCTTCCTCCACCAGCCGCAAGTGAACTTTGACCTCTGCTTCTCGGGTGTGGGCGGAGTTAGTGGTGCCCGCTGCAGCCTGGGTTTCATCCACCTCACCATAAAGCAGACGGTATTTGGCGAGCTCCTCCCGCATCGCCTCGCTCTCCAGAGCCATCTTTGTTAGCTTCTTGCACATGAGCGCAGACTCCTCTTTGGCAAAGTGGAGCTGGCATTTCAAATCAG